GATTTTTTGTGGTGGTGATTTTGGTCCATTATACGGGGTTCGTTACAATTACATGAAGTGTTCCCTCAGTGAGGACTGAACTTGTCAAAAGGGCCTTCTCCTACTCTGCTCCTGTTTCCTGGAATATCTTGCAAAAAGATCTGAAACTCTCGACCTTGACCTCTCTATGTGGTTTCAAACATCTGCTAAGTTCAGGGCAAAAACCAATGCAGACATGTTCCTGTTTTTAGTTTTCTACATCACTTTACAATCTAGCTGTTTTTTTAATTTTGTTTGTAATACCATTTTCTTTAATTTTTCTTCATTTATTCTTCTCAACTTACATGCTTTCTTTTATGATTGTCTATTGTTTTTATTGTCTACTGTTGTCACCATTCTTTGTTAAAAAAAACAAAACAGGTATTTCTTGTACACTGAATGAGTCCGGGAGGCTCAGTGAGACTAACCATTATAAATAAAGGTTGAATGAGGATCAAAATAGCTCAAAATAAACCTGAGGACTGGCCTCCCTCAATCAGCATTTTTTCTTAAGCTTGTGTTTGACTCAATATTTGGCTGTAGGTGCTTTAATGGTGGTGTACAGTGAACCCTCCCTATAACGCGGTTCACCTTTCACGGTCTCGCTGCTTCACGGATTTGCATCGTGCATTGTGTTCTGCATTCTGATTGGCTAAACAGTCTCTCCATTACAGTAGTTATTTGTAAAAAACGTTTATACAGTACTTTTATTTGTTTCCATACCATACCACTTTATTTATAAAGCACTTAAAACAGCAACAAGGCCAACCAAAGTGCTGTACAGACAAAACAACAGGTAACACACAAAGCAAAATGCAAAATGAGGTAAATCAGAATATAGACACAAAACGATGCAGATAATGACGACAAACCAGTGTGGAGCATACAGGATCAAAACACAGATCATCTTGTGTTGAAAGCTACTGAATAGTAGTGAGTTTTTAAACGGGACTTGAAAACCGAGAGGGAGGGGGCCTGTCTGACAAGCAGAGGTAACTCGTTCCAGAGTCTTGGTCCTGCTACAGAGAAGGCCCTGTCACCTCTGCGCTTAAGACGAGTTCCTGGAACTGTGAAGAGCAACTGGTCCACTGACCTCAGGGAGCGTGGTGGGACATACGGTTGTAGCAGATCAGAGAGATGGGGGGGGCGACACTGTTCAGTGCTTTGTAGACATACATGAGTATTTTGAACTGGATTCGTAAGTGAACCGGTAACCAGTGCAGTGAGGCCAAAACTGGTGTAATGTGCTCTCTTTTGCCTGTACTGGTTAAAAATCAGGCTTTCTGGACCAGTTGTAGTCGTGCAATGGAGGTCTGACTGATACCAAACAGGAGTGAATTGCAGTAATCAAGCCTAGATGTAATGAATGCATGTATTACTGTCTCCAGGTTCTTTTTGGACAATATGGGCTTCAGTTTAGACAGCTGCCTCAGTTGGAAGAAGCATGATTTAACAATCATGTTTACATGATTGTTAAGTTTCAGGGAAGGGTCCATTATCACGCCCAGATTAGTGACTCTTTGTTTTTCTGACAGGGTTAGAGCGGAAAGGTCGATGCAGTGGTTTGTGATTGTGTCATTGGGAGGGAACAACATGACTTCAGACTTCTTTTCTTTGAAACTTAAGAAATTTAAAGCCATCCAGTCCCTGATGTCAGCCAGGCAGTTGAGCAGCGGTTGAATAGAGCATGTACCATTGTGTCTTAGGGGGAAGTAAATTTGACAGTCATCGGCATAGAAGTGGAAGGGCATGTTGTGTTTCCGGAAAATAGCACCAAGCGGCAGCAGGTATAAAGAGAATAGGAGTGGACCCAGTATGAACCCCTGCGGAACCCTGCATTTAAGCTCTGCCTCTGCGGAACTAAAATCCTTGATGGAGACACAAAAGGATCTGTCAGTGAGGTAAGATCTGAACCAATTGAGTCAGAGTCAGAGTCAGAGTTTCTTTATTGTCATTCGCACCTCATGTGGTACATGTGGTGGAGCGAAATTATGTACGCAGGGTCCCAGTTACATCCAACAATAAAATGTATAAGAAAAACAGTAATGACATCTAAGATATGAACTAAGAAAAACATCAACTAAATTGAGGGCTGATCCTGTGACGCCCACCCACTGCTCCAACCTAGCAATGAGGATCTCATGGTCGATGGTGTCAAAGGCAGCTGTGAGGTCCAACAGGACAAGCAGCACAGAATCACCGGTATCTGTGAATCTGTGAATCTGAAGATGCCATTAAAGACCTTCAGCAGAGCAGTTTCAGTGCTGTGGAGAGGTTTAAAGCCAGATTGGAAAAGCTCTCTAAGATGGCGTGATCCTCCAGGAAGCACTTCAACTGGGACTCGACTATTTTCTCCAGTACTTTAGAAACAAATGGGAGTTTGGAGACAGGCCGGAAGTTGGAAACGACTGAGGGGTCAAGGTTTGGTTTTTGTTAAACAAATGCTTGGGCCTGTAAAAATGTTTTGTTCTTTGGTTCGAATGTATTATGGAGTATTTCATTGTATAATAATTGTAAAAAAAATAAAGGTTACTACTTCACGGATTTCGCCTATCACGGGTTGTTTTTGGAACTTAACCCCCGTGAAAAACGAGGGTTCACTGTATACAATATTTTATTTGTGATGGATGGAGATTGGTAATGCTCTGAGTTGATTACCATAAGTTCTGGTATATAGTACACACCCTAGTATGGGAGCGTTTTTCTTTTCTTTTTAATCTTTTTTATCTGTAGTTTTATGTGTGTGTGTGTGTGTGCGTGCGTGCGTGCGTGCGTGCGTGCGTGCGTGTGTGTGTGGGGGGGAGGGTGTTGGAGGGCAATTCTCTGGTGTTAACACTATGAAGTGATTATCGTAAGTTCTGGTATATAGTACGCACCTTAATATGAGAAAATTTATTTTCTTTTTTTCCCCCCTTTTTAATTTTTCTCTTTTGTATTAGGGGGCGATTCTATAGTGTTAATGTTTTGAATTGATTGCTGCAATTTCTGTTATATAGTACGCACCCTAATATGGGAGCATTTTTTTTTTCTTTCTTTTTTTTTCCCTTTTTTATATTTTTGTATTAGAGGGTAGTTCTACAGTGTTAATGCTCTGAACTGATTATTGTAAGTTCTGGTATATAGTATGCACCCTAATATGGGAGTGTTTTTAAATCTCTTTTTTAGGTACACATTTGATGTTTATGGTAATATTTGTATAGATTGTTGTTTCTTTAATATTTGTATAGATTGTTGTTTCTTTTTATGTTTTTTTTTTTTTAATTACTATTACTTATAGCATATGTGGGCAGACGGGAGCCCAGATGGTTGGATTATGTTCTCTAGAGGAAGCACTAATGTATGGATTTTCAGTTGACAGTGTTTTTATGTTCTCTCCATGTTTGGGAAGGAGAGAGAGGTAGGTTTATACCAGATCAGTCTTTTTTATTATTAAGTAATGGCTTATGACAGTTTGTGAGTAAATTATTTTTTGCTGTTCGACCATGACCAGCGTTAAGGATGTTGGCCACTCGAGTGGCTGCCCAGTTAATTGTGTAAACTGGAATGGGAAATCCCTTATTAGTCCTGTAAAATTCCAGAAAATTATATCCTGATGCATGCTCAGAAAATTATGTTACACCTAAAGCAGCTGAACACTGATATTGCCTTTTTTACAGGAGACCCATATGCGCTATGTAGATATTTATGTTTATAATATAAATATATTTATATATTTATAAAGTTTATTCAAAAATGATCTGGTCAAGTGTTCAGTCCAATTTTGAATCCAAATCAAGAAGGGTAACTATTATAGTTGGCAAGCAGGTACGATTTTCAGCCTCAAGTGTGCATGCTGATACTGCTGGTTGGCATGTTATGGTGGTGGGGAAGTTATACACCCTGCCAGTGAATATTTCACATTTTGTAGAAAAGAAATATGCAAGTTGGAACAAAAAAAATTCTATAACCAACTTCTTCCTAGCATTAAGCAAGAACTTCAGGACTTGCTAAAAGCACAAATGCCTGCAGTAGAGCCAGTGTTGATTCGGTGCTATTGAGAAATGAGAAGCTTGCAAGGAAAAAGTTCTGTGTGGTTTGAAAATATTTGTGTTTTGTTTAAAGGATGAATACATTATTTTTATAAGATTCTATAGATATTGGTAAGCATTTATAAAGAAAAAATATTCAAACTGGACATCACCTAAATTTTATCTGATTAGGAATGATAGGTGTATTTTTGAGTGACCTGTTTCAGTCTTCAGTCAGTGCGTTATGGTTGGTTCTTCATTTGGTCTAAATTGTCCAGCTGCTTCAGTGAGTTCAGCGATAAGGAAGGATTGCAATTATGACAAGAACAAGTTACAAATAACTCAAATTATCCTTTAAAAGTTTGTTTTTCTTTCTTTGTTTGTTTGTTTGTTTTATTATTGAGCATTCTAAAATGCTTATTGCTGACACCTGCTGTATGGGTCACACCCACAAGCCTGAAAATCACAGCCACACACTGCGACCTCACACACACAGCCATGAGTTTCTTACAGGTCTTTCTTTTGAGTAAAGGACTCCACAGCAGTTTGAACACTGGATTTAAGAACAGAGTGGTGAAAGACTAAGTAAAAAAAAAATCAGATTTGATTCATCAGTTAGAGAAGTATCTCACTGGAGTCTAACTACCTTTCAGTATCACTGTCATCGCTTGACTCCACCTCCTCCAGGGCGGCCTGTAGATCAACGATGCGGCGAATGGACGTCTCCAGATCGGCCTGTAACGTCTGCCTGACAGCAGTGAGTTCCTCTACCTGCATTTCCTGCAAACAAATCCAGTAAAATGATGTTTGTGAACATAGAAGCTGAACACAATGCTCATCTTCCACAGGCCAGCTATGTGTGTTTTCAACTCACACCAAACTGTAATAACCTCAGGGCTGAATTTGCCACAGCAACTACCTTCAATAACACCTATAATACTTTATACCAATGGTATTCCCTCTTAAATGCACACAGATTTAGGGTCTGATATTGATGTATTTTCAATTTATTTTAAAGAAAACTGTTACACACACTAAAATTGAGAAAACTTTTTTAAAATTAATCTCATCTGTTTACTTTCTAACCGAGTCTTTCCTGTTGCATAATACAAAGATGAACACTTGGGCCAAGTCACACTTAGACACTTTTAAGCTTTTAAAGGCATAGGCTTTTTTAGCTTTGAAGAAACAGGTGGTGCAATGGTTTTCATGGAGCCCCATAATCAAGTGTGTGCATGTAGGGATGGCAACATCTAGTGGGCCTTCCCCTGTCTGTTCTCCCTTGTGTCTGTATTGATTGTCTGATTATCGTCACCTGTGTCATGTCCTGGTTGTGTGTATATAAAGTCTGTCTGGCAGTTCTGTCGTTGTCGGTTCGTCGTTGGGTCTACCCTGTCTTGTTCTGCCAGTCTGGCCCTGTTTTGATCTCGTCTTGTATCTGCCTTGTAAGTTTGCTGCCATGTCAGCCCTTTTGATTTATTATTATTAAAAGTATTTTATTTTACGCCTGTCTCCTGAGTCCTGCCTGCGCAACTGGGTTCTTCTGTCCTGATCTGCCTTGAAACCCTGACAGTGTATGCCTATAATGTTGATGAGACAATGAGAATCACAGTCAGAGATAGGAAGCAGGATGAGGGAGAGATGGTGTTAAGAAGCTGCATAAGTAGAAAGATAAATGTCTCTGTTGTGCATGTGAATATGTCTATTCATGAAGCTTGTGTGTGACTGCACAGCCAGAATGTTGTTAAAGGGTATCGTCATGTGAATGAATACTTTTGGCCAATAACTGAATAATTATTGACCCTCTTGTCTTTTCACAGCTCAGAGGCCACTAAAAAAGGTTATCCAACATCTTTGGTTACTTAAAAATGTCTAAATCAATTCAATCATGATAAGAGGATGACAAAATATTAAAATTTTAATTGAATGCACTTCAGAATGCAACCTTCCTCCACTTTGACCACTGATAAGAATTTCTTGCAATATCACAACAAAAGTTGTAAAACAAGCTTTGTCGTGGTACAAATAATTATATTTCAAATGTGTACTAAATTACGGGGCCATAGTTGTTCACTTTGTCTTTCAAATAGACATTGCTTCTTTCTCAACCGTTAGCTTCAGTATAATTAATTTTAGTATATACCAAAAAAGTCTCTTATGACAATTTCCTGCCATAATTCATTCTTTACTAGTGTGCATGTGTCAGTGTACGTAGAGAAGCTCTGTCTGAGCCATCGGTGTTGCTATGATCACAGTCTCCACTGATGACAATGATATTTTTCAAATTTCCCAGATAATAGACCAGCTGCTGTTTCTGTTAATGAGATAAGCAGAGAAGTGGATGCATGGCGTGCTTTCAGTCATCGCCTGGAGGACGTGTTTCCTGCCAACCTGCCTCCAAAATGGTGTCTCACAGCTTGGATATGAGTATCGCCTGTTGGGGAATATATTTAGCAGCTTATGGGCTGCCCAGGTAATGCAGAGAGTGTGTGGGTATGGGAGGGCGTATCTTGTCTGTGGAAAAAGGAAAAAAAAACAAAAAATTAAGAAAAATATCAGCATGTTTGGACTGTTGTTGTGTTATCATTTGTGATTGAACAAATGTTCATAGACGACAAGAGTAAAAAAAGTAGTAAATGTCATCTGGAAACCATTTCCTTTAAAAAAAAAAATCAAGAACAGAAAAACAAAAAACCCTCCTACCCCTCCCCTCCCACACCGGATCAGTCACACATACATAAATTAATTCAAATGAATTTCACAGGCACAGACATGTTTTCCACATACAACATAAAAGGCTGCCAAGTGTCCCAAAATCTTTTAACAGAACCCTTCATGGTATATCTTTGTTTTTTCTAGATGGATATAATAAAACATAATACTATGAATATAATAATACATAATACTATAATATAATAATATATCGTCTCTCTTATCCAATGTACATATATGCTGAGGGGTGTGGGTCCTTCCAATTGCACAAAACTAGTCTTATGGTCAGAAGAGAGCCAAAAGCAATCACATTCTTCTTGGACTTGCTGAAGGATGTATCCACAGGGACCACCCTGAACAGTGTGATGAATGGTGATGGGTGCACAGTTTTACCACATATTCCAGAGAAGGTGCCAAAAATAGATGGCCAAAAAGTCTGTAGTTTGGGACAGGTCCAGAATTCAATTTCAATTCAGTTTTTCAATTCAATTTATTTATATAGTGCCAAATCACAACAAAGTTGTCTCAGGGCACTTTACAGAAACATTCACATACATAAAAGCCAATTAGTAAAGTTCTCTATCTAAGGAATCCAGCAGACAAGTTGAATCTTGGCTTCGTTGCAGTCTCCCATCCTGAGCAAGCACAGTGGCAACAGTGGAAAGGAAAAACACCCTTTTAAAAGAAAGAAACCTCCAGCAGAACCAGGCTCAGGACCAAGGGCATCAGAAACATCCGTAATGTGGGGGGGACACAATGATGTATGTAGATGTGCATATTTGCGCGCGCGTGTGCATGTGTGTGCGCTTAAAAAATGTAATTAAAACTAATTAGGTCAATTGACAACGTGATTGGGTATAAAAAGTGCTTCTCAGAGTGTCATTGTCTCTCAGAAGCCAAGATGGTAAGAGGATCACCAATTCCACCATTGTTACACAGAAAGATAGTGCAACAATACCAGAATGGTGTTACCCAGCATAAAATAGCAAAGACTTTTAAGTTATCATCATCAACCATGCATAACCTCATCAAAGGATTCAGAGAATCTGGAACAATCGCTGTGCGTAAGGGTCAAGGCCGTAAAACTCTACTGGATGCTCGTGATCTCCGGGCCCTTAAACGTCACTGCACCTCAAACAGGAATGCCACTGTCAAGGAAATAACAGAATGGGCTCTGGAATACTTCCAGAAAGCATTGTCAGTGAACAAAATCCACTGTGCCATCCACCGTTGCTAGCTGAAACTCTACAGTGCAAAGAGGAAGCCATTTCAAAGCAAGCTCCACAAGCTCAGACGTTTGCACAGGGCCAGGGGCCATTTAAAATGGAGTGTGGCAAAATGGAAGACTGTTCTGTGGTCAGATAAGTCACGATTTTAAGTTCTTTATGGAACACTGGGATGCCATGTCATCCGGACAAGAGAGGACAAGGATAGCCCAAGTAGTTATCAACGCTCCGTTCAGAAGCCTGCATCACTGATGGTATGGGGTTGCATGAGCACTTGTGGCATGGGCAGCTTGCATGTCTGCAAAGGCACCATTAATGCAGAGAGCTATGTTCAGGTTCTAGAACAACATATGCTCCCATCTAGACGTCATCTCTTTCAGGGAAGACCCTGCATTTTTCAACAGTTTGCTGGAACAGACTGTGTGCAGGACGAGTGGTGTCCTTCAAGATGTGGCACACTCTCCCCCTGCATCGTGAAGTGCAGAAGTCTGAGGTGGTGTAGTGAACTAAGCCTCAGGTCAAAATCTGGCCTTGAGGGCCTTCCTGGGACAAGAACTGTATTTCATTGATTTAAGTCCAGAAACACAAGATTAAGTTCATCCAGAGACTTTCTAAGTGTCCTGCACTGATCAATTGAAAGAACACTCTCTTTTTCTATTATCATTACTATTTTACAAATATTTTGATAATCAAATTGTGTTTGTTCAAACCATTTTTAAATGTTGAAGTGAACTACTCATTTTAAATCAACTGTGAAACAGTATTAGTGATTTTTATCCTCATTCAAAGTAGAAATCAGGTTAATGATGCATTGTCTGATTTTCTGTCTTCAATGAGCAAATTGTGAAGTTGGTCAAAGGTCAAGTTTCGGTCAACTGTAAGTTTACTGAAAAAGAAATGTCATGTTTAACTTTTTCAGGCAGATACAAGAGAGTTGACTCCACGAAGTCTGGAATCTTCATAGCAATTTTCTGT